AACCTGCTATGAATTTCTGCATGCATTCGAACGCCGCTTCTTGCAGCTCCGCGTTCGGTTTCTCCAATGCTTTGTACAAAACGCCGAATATTCTTTCGCGACACGTGACGATATAGTGGCAGGCAGCCAAAGCTCTCAAAGCTGATTTCCTGAGAGGGATCAGGTTCGAGACGGATTTGTAGCAAGGCAGTTTATTCAGATTGGCGTCTTCTGCCTCGCTCAGTGCCAACAACTCTTGAAAGAACACATCGTGCTCCGTTAAATCGATCGTGAACAGACGAGGATTCAGCGTCGTGCAAAATGTGTTCCCATCTATCAAACCGATCTGAGCGTTGGCCGGTTGATGTCTCAGCAAATGTTTCTTGGGCGGGATCATGTCGGCCAATACCTCTTTGTGCGGCTCCATTACCTCGGTGACCGTTTTATTTTGTATCTCGGCCAGCAATCTTAACGAGGACATGGCCTGCTCCCTGACCAACGTGTGCGGCGAAGTTACTTGCCTCACCAGCTCGTGGGTAACCTCGTACAAACTTTTGTTCTGCGCCTCGATAAGCTCTGTGTTCCCATCCTGGATCCCCGGGTTCACGCAAACTCTCAACATCTTCTCCAAGTTCGCCTTGGCCATATCTATGGCGCCGTTCGACACCTCCTCGGTCAGATCCATCATTACGAACATCAGAGCTTTTAGGAACACGAACAGATGATTCAGCACCCACTTGGTCGCCATCCTTTCGAAGAGAAACTTGATGGCGATGCACCCTCCCAATTTTGCGTACCAGGCGCGCTCGTAGCAAAGCGAGCACATCTTCTCCGCCAAATATTCCATCAGAGGTAATTGGCAGGCGCGTTCCTTCGATCCGAGAATGTTGGTCGCGGTTTCTAGGATCAGAACAAGGGCCAAATGCCCGGACTTGTACAATTCCTTCTCCTCGTGACCCATGATTACCGCCAGCGCATCGATCAACACGAGGGGATCCTGGCCCTGCATGCGTATCTGTCTTCCGGTAAGGCAGAAGGGGCCGGCTTGTTGCGCGATAGCCACCATGGTGTAATGTCTCACGATCGACACCACCGTGCCCAATACCGAATGCCTCAACTCCTTGATCTCCGCAGCGACGAACAATCCGGTGAGGGCCGTTTGCTGAACGTTCCTCGCCACGGTGTCCGGGCATTGGTAGTGGGGCCCGCGCTGATGCAAAATTTTACTCTCTTTGAAGCTGGGATGCAGGAACAATTTATGCAATATGGCGTTGCCGTCGTCCAATCGCAGCGACGCGGCTAAATAACAGCTAATCACTTCCCAACATTGCCTGCGATAAAACGAATCCGTGTTGTTTGATTTTAGGGCGTTGAACGCAGTCTCGATCACCTTTTCCACGGGGAAATCTATAGGTTTCGTAGGTTCCTGGAAATAGACGACGATAGCTGGAGAATTGGTCTCGCGATCGTTGTATTCCAATTTTTGCGGCTCGATCATCATCTTTCGATTTCCGCCACCAAATTTACCCAGAACTCGAAAAGCCACGTGTGCTTGGTCAGTAGGATTATGTAACGTTCTCCATAATGCTTGCATCAAATCGGCTCGAACAGGTTGTATGTGCTCGTACAAGAAGTCGGGCTGAAGATTGTCCACGCATAATTCGAGGGTTCGTAATCCTTGACTCACCAAGCAGTAACTTCCGTTCAGTGCCGAGACCAAAGGGTCCATCAGCATGGGTAAATAAGGTAGAAGGGAGCTAAGTCTCACAGGTACCGTTAGACACAATTCCACGAACAGGTCTTTCATGTGCTGTCTGTGTAAACCGGACTGCAATCTGTTCAAACCTTCCAACATGTTCGGGAGAAGAGGTAAAAATTCTTGGTAAAGGAGGTCGTGAGAACCGCCACCGATGGATCTGAACAGAGCCCTCAACAGGAGGAAGTAATTGTACGGTTCCTTGGCCGACATGGCCAACTCTATGGCTCGATTCACGATTTGGTTTAAATGAGGCCTGAGCATGTGCTCGTTTTCAGCGGGGAAAAGCGACACGCTGCCGAAAACTAACTTAAACAGTCTTAAGTACAAATTGCTTCTTTCCACGTTGGATCCCATGTCACCCATTCTCTCTAACAAATATTCGACTAATATCGTTGCAAAAGTGGACGATATCGTGGGACTAGACAGAAAGGCACTTCCGATTATTTGCAACGCGCAATTCTTGAAGATCCTCTCGACCATGTAGTCGATCGAGGTCGAGAATATTTCCTGGAATGTTTGCGGGTTCATCTGAGTGAAAACGTTCCCGAAAAGTTCCAACACTTCCTTCTCTTCCCTCGTGCGTATCGTTTGAGACTGGGCCGGCCTACCCTGTTGCGCGACGGCCCCGATCGTGGGGGGACCTATAGTGTAAATATCCAACGCAGGCAACGCCCATTTCACCAATTTAATGTAGACCAAAGTCTCTTTCGTTTGAAACTGATTAGACTGCGTCACTTCCCCGGTTTTGCTATTTATGTAATTGGCCGTGATGGCCTTCGCGCCGTGCACCAAATTTTTCACCAAATTCCTATAATCGACAACGTTGTAGCTCATAGCTTGAGAAGAAGGAAATCCGAATTTCGATTTTCCGCTCTCCTTCTCCTCGTTCAAGTCAGGTACAAGCGGTTTAACGTCTTCCGTCTTCGTGTCCACGCCAGGAGGCGTCATTTGTTTAGCCTTGTTGCGCAAGATCGGTATATAGATCTTTGCTATCGTCTTAAATTTTAAAACAAATACCAAAAGTATTCGCATCAACAGCTCTCTTCCCTGAGTGCTATTCTCGGCGTCGGATCTTTGCCTCACCGTGTCAACGAGATTCATCAACAATTTACACGAGACCATCTGCACGGTTGTAGGAAGACTTTGATCCAACAGATTTTTGCTGTAGAGGTGCGCCGCCTTGGACACGTCGCTCAACGGCAAATATAGCCTAACGTGGTGAACCAAGTCCGCGAGGGTGGAAAATGCCAGAGGTCTCAGGGATTCGTGGGTGGTCCAACCTCGTCCGATAAATATATCTTCGTCGAATAAACATTCCATGTGGGGTATAAACTTGTTTCGAAGATCCGTGGCCAATATGTGCCTCGAAGCGATCACCAGTTCCTTTCGTAGATGAGCCACCTCCATAGGGCACAACGTGTACAAACCTAAGATACCTTTCACCAATATGGAGCTATGCTGAGACACCACGTCTTGATAATTCCTGATGATGTACGCAAGGAACGACAATGTTTTGATCTGGGCTCCCATGAAATCAACGAATACTTCTTTATTGAATCCAGGGGATGCTCGATGTTGAGGACTCGGTTGCAGAGTTATAGTGGTTATCACGAGGGGGATGAAATCGGAGACATCCTGAGTCACGTTCGGTTTGTACAATTGATTCATAAGCACAACTATGATTGGTAATTCTTGAAGCACCTTGAGTGACAGCACCGCCTTGGGGATCAAATTGTACTGGAACAATTTTTTTTTTTTTTTTTTCATATTTATTTTAAATCCCGATCGTTATTCCACGAAGTTTACCACGAAGAAAGATAGAAATGATGTTTAACGGACAACGAGTTGGATACTTACGGTAATAAGAGTACCATCCGCTGCTCTTTTCTCACTTTGTATAGCCGTGATTGTGAAAGTTTCTTTTAAAAGTGCCTCTATATTTATTTCCGACAAATCCCTCACTCTCAGAGGTGATCGAGGTTCGAATATTTTTGGCAGATTATTTGGTAACTCGCTGTACACCGATTTAACGAATTGCAAAAAATATTGTATCTGTACAAGGATACAAGGATAAAAGATTTATCGATAAATTTTCTCCGATAAATATATATTCGAAATATTTTTTTTTAAACGTTACTCACTTCCGGATTAAAAGTCGGCTTGTACTGTTTGTGCAGTTCGATTATGATCCTTAGACAGACCAGCACGTTTTCCTCGTTATCGGTCTCTAATAATTTAGACATCAGGCTTAGGATCTGTTTCACGTACGGGCGTAGATAATCGTTGCTGGGTAATCTGTGTATCATTTCCAAAATCAACTTTCTAACTTGTTGGATGTTGTATTCCGATATAAAATGTGGCTCGCCGTCTTGTAGTATCTTCAAGAAAATTTTCATCATGTGATCAAGAAATGCTGGATATTGTGAGGAACACATAATGACCTGTAATGATTTAACGAAACAATAGAATCGATATTAATATCAAACGGTGATCTATCATATATATATATATATATAAATATAATTTAAAATCGTCGAGTCGAAATACCTCAAAATTTTCCGACAATTCTTGAGCAGCCTTCAGTTTCAATTCATCCTTTGAAACTGGATCGGCCAGCATCGTTACGTACGATTTGTACGTATTCATTTGCGTCACTGGATCTGGCGGCGCCATTTTGATCGTTTGATTGAAAGTTCGATTTGTACTAAGTCTGGTCCATTAGAAAACCTGCGAAATATATCCAAATTTCAATATTTCCTTCTTCTTCGAAATCGCAAAACGAATTGAAACAGATCGATAAGCTAGGACGAAGAATATTTTAAATTATAAAAAAAGAAAAAGAAAAAAAAAAAAAACGAATCGATTCGGAATCTTTCCACCGCCGCGAAATCAATGAGGAATGTATCTTATGTGGTACAAACAACCCTTGGCAACGACTTATATCGTTCCCTTATTTCGTCCACTTTAATTAAAGATCCCGAATCAGTCACTTTTTTTTAATTACACATTTTTTTAAATACACTTGCGAAACAGTATCAACTCAAATTTGTAAAAAGGATATTGCAGAGTGTTGATTGCTGATCGCGGCACGTGATTCGAGGACGAAGTATGCGAAGTATAGAGATGTCAGGGGTGAAGAAATATATGTTCACAGCCTATAAATGTTCGTCAAATCACGGATACGGTCTCAGTATCCTTGCAATGTTGCTGGCAACTTGATATAGAATCGGGAGGATATAGAGGATAAATATTAAAAGAAATTCGAAGAGGAATAAAAAAATGGACGAAACTACTATTGACTCGATCTTCGCGGGATCTTTAAAATCCTTGCCGGCTGTTAGCTCGAAAATCGTCAGAATATTTACGAGCTCCACTTTCACTGGTACGTTGAAATATTCGTAAATAATTATATATCATTTTTTCCTTACGTAATCAATATTTTAATTCAGATACGACGATGGAAAGGAACACGTTGATGGCACAGTGTTATCCAAAGCTAAAGGATTATTGCAGAGAAAAGCACGGATTGGAGTTTCAGGTAATCGTTGAATAATTAATTATTGAGATTCGCATAGATTATGCGGAAGATGATAATTGTAAAAAATTAAAAAATTTTTTTTTTTTTATTCGATCGATGTTATTTATTAAAATAATATATAGCGTATAGATGAAGAGTGTCAAAATCTATGTTATATAACCGTGGACATTGTCGACCTTGAATAAAGAATTGATTTTTAACGTACCAGGCACGAATTCATCCCCGCTAAACTTTTCCAACTTGTGCGAATGCAAGTTTTTCTCGTTTGATAAGATTTAAATTTAAATCGAGGAAAGAACGAATTGATTCCATTATATAAGAAATGCAATTCCAGGTGGTTGATATGAGATGGGGTGTACGAGACGAAGCCACTGACGATCACATGACCACGGAACTCTGCATGAGGGAGATAGAAAATTGTCAGAGGCTCTCAATGGGTCCAAACTTCGTGGTACAAAATAATTCAAAATAATATAAATCGATTTGGAAAATATTAAATTTTTTTAAAACGTGCGGATAAAACGAGACATTCTTTTAAAATTCATTTAAAGGTATTCCTTGGACAGAAATATGGTTATCGTCCTATTCCAACGTATGTTCTCAGTTCAGAATTAGAAATGTTAAGGACGGAACTGGAAGGTCAAGGAATGGACGTCAGTCTTCTGGATAAATGGTACAAAAAGGACAGCAACGCGGTTCCTCCAACGAGTATACTGCAACCAATATCCTCGATCTTGAAAAATTTTAACAATAAAGTAAACGAGTGTTCCCACTTGTATTGAGAACAAATTTCACAGCATCGGAATACGTAAACCGTTTCCGTTAATTTCAGAGAATACCAAAGCTGCAGCAAGAGGATCAGGCCATTTGGTGGGACACTATGGTAAAAATGCAAAAGCTATTTCGAAAAGGGGCGCAATCTTTGTACAACTCTGGAAAATTTGACAAAGACACCATGCACAATTATTTTATGTCAGGTAGATAAGAAAAGAAAGATAAAGAAGGGAGAAAGGATCACAATGATTATCACAATGATTATTAATTTTTAATTTTCGAAATAGTGACCGAGAGGGAAGTGATCAATGGTATCTTGAACGTGAAAAATACGAAAAATCATTGCCTGGCGTACATACGATATATAAACAACATTAATCTTCAAAACTTGAGGAAAGCCAGTTTGTTCTTGGATATCGTTAACAGAGGTTTGGACAACGAGGCTTCCAAATTGTTGGCAAATTTGAGGGACGAAAGACTTCCGCAAAAGATCGAGACCATAAATTTGCAAAGGTATCTTTCTTTTCTCGAAGAGAGAAACGTAATTTCACTTTCAAACTTTCATCTTATTCTGTTTTTTCTTTCTTTCTTTCTTTCTTTTAAAGGTACACGGTAGAATGGATTGGACGAGAAGGTCTCGATCCAGAAACCCACAGCGAGTATCTCCAGCATTTCATAACGCATTTCTACAGAAATATAATAAAATTGGTGGATCGTGCTATGAGAAAAGAGGATAGCTCCGCGCAAGGACAAATCATAACAGAAATTTTGCAACATTTGCACGCGTGTAACAATTCGGTGAAGGTAAAGTTTTTACCTCGAAAGAATTCTCGAAAGTTAGAAGTTATAGTCGTGAAATTAAAAAATTAAAATTGCCAGGTTTTTTATGGCCGAGAAGACACTTTGGAGAAAATTAAAGAGCACATGTTGGGGGACAGTGATAAACCTTTGGTGCTCTACGGAGAAGGTGGATGCGGAAAAACATCTTTATTAGCAAAGAGTGCAGGATTGACGAGTAGCGCGTGGCTTATTGGGAAAAAGCCAATCAACATAATTCGATTTCTTGGCACGACACCGGACAGCAGTGCATTGACACCAACGTTAATTTCTATTTGTCAACAAGCGAGTAATCGAACGATTGTCCTACGATTCTGATAATTATAAATAGTCGAAATAATAAAGATCTTCTTTTATAGATCTCCTACAATTTCATGTTACCCTTCGATGAAATTCCTGACGACTTGGTACCGTTAACCGCTTACTTTAAGCATCTATTGACCCTAGCTACAACCGAGCAACCGATTTTATTATTCCTTGACAGTGTCGATCAATTAACCGGAGTTCAAGGGAACAAATTGTCTTGGTTACCTACTAGACTTCCTTCGAATTGCAAGGTGCGATATCGATCAAAAAAAAAAAAAATCAATTCCATCAAAAAACGATTAATAATCAAGGACTTTTCTCAGATGATCCTTTCTTGTGTTGCCGAGGAATCGAACCCCGTCATCTCCCGAGATTATCAATTATTACGAAGAATGATAGACGTAGAGGAAAACTTCATCGAGGTCGTCGCTCTTGGCGAAGATCTTGCCATGGAGGTGATAAGGTAAGCTAGGAAAAAGCGGTCGAAATATTCTTGCAACTAAAAAAAAACTAAAAAACTAAAAACTTGTAAACGACTTAAATTCTTTCGTAGGATGTGGATGAAGACGGCTCACAGAGATCTAAACAATTATCAATGGCGTCTCGTAGCGAACGCCATAACCAAGTGCTCCTTACCGATCTTCGTGAAATTGGTGTTTGCAGAAATATGCAGATGGAGAAGCTATACCAAACCGGCAGATACGCACTTAACGTGCACCGTGATGGACAGTATCATGATGCTCTTCGAAAGAATAGAGAAGCAGCATGGAAAAATTCTCGTGTTCCACGCATTGGCTTACATCACTGCCGCCAAGTCGGGTTTGTCCGAGTCAGAGCTCGAAGATCTGATTTCGTTGGACGATAAAGTGTTGGACGACGTGTATCAATACCATTTACCCCCGGTAAGAAGGATACCGCCCCTGCTCTGGACCAGGATACGTAACGATTTGCCTAATTATTTGAGCGAAAGGGAAGCCGACGGTGTCAGTGTTCTCAATTGGTATCATAGACAATTTAGGGACACGGCCAAGGAAAGATACTTCAAAAATATGAACATGGCCATGTATTTCCACTCTATGATCGCCGATTATTATCTCGGCATTTGGGGGGGCGGTCGACCGAAACCGTTTAAATATACCGAAATTCAGAGACACAGGTGAACTATTGATTTTTTTTTTTTTTTTTTTGAAAAGAAGAAAATTCTCGAAGATTGCGATGATTCGATGATTCTTTTAAATTATATTTGTTATATAGATTCAATTTGACGGATAAGGAAGGAGTGGCAGACAGAAAAGTACCTGAACAACCTTTAGCATTTTATTCGAAGGAAGGAACAATTAGTAGATACAATTTAAGAAAGGTATACGATAAATGAAAATGTTTTGTTTTTTTTTTTTTTTTTTTTTTTTTTTTTTTTGAGAAAATTAATTCGAATTTGAATTATAGTTCGGCGAATTACCCTTTCACTTGGTCAGATCGCGACGTTTCGACGATTTGTTCGAAAATGTTTTGTTCAATTACGAATGGCTTCATGCAAAACTGAGTTCTTGTCCGTTACAAGCTGTACTTTCGGATTTCGAGGACGCGTATAATTTCATCGATAATCAAAACATCGTTAGGTAATCAATCGGAGAATATGATTATTGGAAACGAAGAAAGAGCAAAGTTGACGTTCTTACTAACAAATATTCATTTCCGTTCCAGAGAGTTGATGCTAGTTGCTGATGCGCTTAGATTAGGGGGTGCAATTTTAGGATCACATCCAGATATGCTGGCACCACAACTAATAGGTCGATTATTGCCAGAAATAGGTGGGAACGTGAACGTGAAAATGCTGCTACGAGCGTGCGATAACGACGGTGCAAAGAATTGCGCCCTTCTTCCGGTTTATCACTGTCTACACACTCCTGGAGGGCCGTTGAAAGTAATTGGACGAAATTGTCCGATAAAACGAAAAATAAAATTCCCTTACGATCCTTTAAACTTTTCCAGTATTCTTTGGAGGGCCATCAATTCGCTGTATTTGGATTTTGTCTAACGTCGGATTATCGATACGTCGTTTCCATATCAAACCGATTCATCACCTGGGATCTGAGCACCAGCGACATGACCAGAGATGTAAATCCCGGTATTGAAGGAATTATGCAACATTTAGTTTTGAGCCCTGACAATAGATACGCCGCTGCGTTTACGACTAATAATCAAGTAATTAGCCCAATGTCGATTAATCTTTTATTTTATTTTATTTTATTCTTTTACAAATTTTTGCTTTGAAATTCGCGATTTTTTTTTTTAAACAGAGCGTCGTATTGAATACACTGACGAGCGAGTTTGTAATTATCGATAATCCATTTCCAAATAAAGATCCAGTGTGCGGAATACATCTGATGAATCAATTCTTTTTCGTCTACGGTAAATTAGGCTGGTACAGGTTCGATTTGAGAGGAAACTTGTTGGATATGCACACGAATCCAGAAGATTCCAACAAGTGGCCAATTTTGTGTGAGTAAGATAGAATCGTGTTTACTATAATCGTGGAAAAATTGAAAAAATTATGGAAGAACGTGTATGTCTTTTTGAGTAGCTGTGGAACACACGAATTTGGATGAATATAGAATAGTGTTTTGGTCTGGAAACATAGAAGATACCAATATGCTTTTGCATACTTATAGGAAGAAGAGATCATTGGATCCATTGTATTTTCATAGGTGAATCATCGATTAAATTATTAATTTGATAGCCTTCTGTAACAGGTTTTATTTTATAACAGCGTGATGGTTATGACCAATAATAAACAAGTTTTATACGCCTGTACGAGTAAGGACGATTATCGAGTCACGAAATACACAAGCGACGAAACATCGTCCCAATGGGAGAAAGTTTTCGATATGCCAAGAGCTTTCAACGATAACGTCGAATACTTGTTGCAATTGAAATTGGACAGGGAAGAGGAGATGCTTTTAGCCACATCTGCCAATGGTTTTATCGTGTGGTTTTTAGAAGATAAAAGCGATGCACACGTCTTAATGTTGCCGAATGGAGTTCGAAACATTAGCACGAAAATGATGTATTCCAATTCGATAATGATCAGTGGCACCAAAAATTATGCCGTTGCTGGTGTAAGGTGTGTTTTATGATAAATTAAATAATTAACAGAAAAAAAAAAAAAAAAAGAAAAAGATGGAACGAAATTGCATCCTTTTTTCGTAGGAAAAATTTATATGTTTGGAATCTCGAGACAAGCGAGTTGGTGAAAATATTGGATGCCCATTTCGCGAGAATTATTCAGTTAGAAGCATTGACTGTTGGAAATTGGAACAGCGTGGTAACATCGAGTATCGACAGAAGCGTAAAAGTATGGAATATAAACAATATTTTTGAGCAGGTTCACATAATAGACAGACACGAGTTACAAATCGATATGATAAGGTATTGAATTTTATCGCTTACCTGATATAAGTCGACTTTATTTTTTATCGAAATTTCTTTTTCGTCAATTCAAAGCTTGGCGGAAGAATGTAATATAGCAGCCATAGTGACGAGAGATTGTGTAGGAATTTGGGATTTGCAGACGGGAAGATTGATCTCGAAACTGGCGGATAGTCCTTTAGGGGCGATTGTTACTCACGCTTGTATAACTCACGATGGAAAGTTAGTAATTGGATTATCACAATAATATATATATATATATATTCATATGTTTACAATTCGTTTACGATATGTTTCTCCTTTCAGGTATATTGTTTCCATAGAATCGGGTAATGTATTAATATGGAATAGAATTACGGAACAAGTGTTGTTCAAAGAGGAACAACAACACGTGAGACAATTAACGTTATTTGAAAATTCATCTAAATTTATAACCGTTTCAAGACCGAAAAATCCTTCTGGAGTTGAAAGTATGAAAACCACCGCGACTCTTTTTATGAGAACTATTCCCGGTATATTGTTAATTGATGATTGATGATTGAAGAATAGAGAATTTTCAAGATTTTTAATTGATTAACAATTAATATATGGTAATTGTAATTAATAGATGGAAAAACAATATTTACGTTGGAATACTTGGTCAGAAGTCATACAAGTACATCATTTCGAAATGTTGTGATGACTTCTGACAATTCTTTTTTGATTGCTCCTGCTGCTGATAAGGGTAACAGAGATTGTGTTATTATTTACAATGCGAATACAGGAGCATTGATAAATAAAATACCAATAAGATTACCGGGATTTAAAGTAAGAATATTAATTTAAACAATATACAATTTGCTTTTTATAGAATAAATAATTTTTTTAATAGGATATTTTATGTATCACTCCTATGCCAAATAAATCATATTGGATAGGAATTATTGGATCTGATAAAGGTATTATTTTGGATATAAATAAAAAGAAAATTATCCGTACAATTCTTAAATGGAGCGGGAATATTAGCAAAGATGGGAAATATACTTTATATGCACCCAGCAGGTAGTTATATATTGTGCAATTGAAAAAGAAAGAAACATTATTTTCATGATTTTGATATTATAGAGGTGGCTTAGAGCTTTTGGAATTGAAAAAAGGTACCACTATCAAGACTTATATTCCTAAGATTGCAGAAGGTGTATTTACTGTAATATCCATGTTTAACCGCACGGATGAATATGTTCTTTATTATCACAGTGGAAGAAAAACTATACGTGTATTTAGGTAAATATATAAAAAACCTGCATTTTAAAAAAATATATATATCTATGATATATATCTAATTTATAGATCATCAGATTGTGAAATGATAGCAAATTATAGAGTTCAAACAGAATTGAGTGCTATCGATAGCACATATGATGGTAAAAGTATAGTTCTTGGAACAGTGGATGGTTGTGTTTCTGTTTTAGTCATAGCAGATCCTAAAAAAGAAAATATGAAAGAATATGTTGCAAACTTACCATCTCGTGATGAGGATGTAAGTAAACAATTGAGAATATCATCACACACATAGTAAACAAACAAAACGTGTTTTCAAAGAGATTGTAGAAACTGCACATAGAGGAGAATAATTTTTGTCTCCCATTGATTTTATGACTTTTATCTTGATTCCTTTTCTTTTAATATTCCGATCCAAATTGTTCAATATAAAGTTTTTTTATTTCGTCACTGAATTATCAACTTTAGAAATAGGTTAGGGTAAACACTTGCCGCATTGACCATTAAGGTTATTAAAAAAATTATTATTATGTTTCATAAATCCATTGAATTGAACAAATAAGTTTGATAAAATTTAATCTCTGATACATTTATTTACAATCGATTTTGTAAAAATTTCGTTTAATGTAATGTCCCGCTCAAAATCGAATTTAGTCGTAATTTCTGTATATAGTTCTGTATAACGTTTTATGAAATTAAAAATGCGTTTAATTTTCGATAAAAGTGATCGGAATTACCTTATTTCATTTGATTATGAAAAATATAAAATTACATATAGTACAAGCGTATAGTGCAATAAACTCAAAACGTTCACCCAAAACACTCAAGCACGATTTTCTCTTTGTTTCTTTCTCTTTCTCGCTTTTGCTTTAAGAGAAGAGAAAGTTTCAAATCTAGTTACTTTTTTCATACCAACTATGTTTAAAAAAAGTACTAATCGTAAATATTATATTGTGTTAAAGACTTAACAAGAAGATAGATATTTATTTATTAATTAAAATTTATTACATATAGTTCTAAATGAAAATTTATATATATTTATATATATTACAAATATTTCATGAATATGATAATTAATCATAGATTAGATAAAAAAATTATTTTTTCAAATTATATCTATCTTGTAAAATCTATCTTGCAGTTTCATTTTTTGGAGCAACGAAAAATTTTATCGTGTATATATATTTTGTTTGTAAAATAAAAGAATGTACTTCATATTTTTATAAAATACTAATGTGTTATTTAATTTCTTTTTCAGTGGAAAAAGAAAACTGAAAAGCAACGAATGACTATTAAGTTTAAAGCTGCTGCTCGAATTGCACGTGTAACACACGACTTAAATACAATTATACGAAATACAAACATTGTAGAAACAATTCAAGAATTAGACGAAAATATAGAATAAAAATTGCATTATTTTTATAGGAAATTTTTTTTATTAGTATAGGAAATATAGCATAATTAGCATAGGATATAATAGTGTATATTTTTTTAATAGAAGTATCGATCAAGGAATAATAAATATAAAACATTGATAATAGAATTTATATTACATTTATTTGTGTCTTTTCATGTAATTAATTTTTATAATCTTTCTTTTTTTTCTTCTGTCTTATATCTTCTCCGCGTTCAGAAGGTAAAGGGCACGAGACGAGTTCTGTATTCCATCATTGTAAATGAAATTATTCCTGGTTTATTATTAGAATAGGTTGCCCTTGCATAAACCAAGGTTGATGTTTCTTTAAATAACAATTTTATAACTTGCTCTATGCAAGGGAATGTCCTTCATTTTACAATGTCGCATCGTGACTGAAGACGTCTCGTGCCGACGCAGGCGTGATGAAGTGCAATGTTTACATTTTTTCTCTTCTTTTTTTTTTTTTTTTTTTTGTTTACAAATTTCAAAAAATCGATATAATATAATATAATGAGTGATTTAATAAAAATTGATTTTACAATTAGCGAGTGAACGTAAGATTTCAAACAGTATCATCGAAGTCGAATGGATCGCGTATGAAAATTTTCGTTGATCATTTGTTTTTCCACTTGCGATAGTAATTAAAAATATATTGAACCGTTTCATACGGGCTTAAATTATACCACGATGACCGATTTATATTTTAAAAAAGTTGATACTCATATGGCAATTGAATCATGCTATCATCATGTACATACATCAATAATCTGTAAACAACTATTAAACGTATTTTGTAACAATGTTAAACTAAACTAAAACACACCTGCATCAGAGCACATGAACAATAGTTCCAGTAGAACCTAAAATTGTATGGCAGCTTATTAGATAAAATAAACAGCATCTTTCATCGAAGATCATGCTCTTTGTTAAAAATCGAGTACGGTGTGTTTTATTATTGATTTACAAAATGCTGCTCATACGATATTATCAATATTTTTTGGTACTCGTTTAAAATTCCAATAATTGATTTGCACTTGATTCCCATGAAGTGCATTTTCATTCAAATAAATTTGAACTTAATCTGTGATGCTGATTTTCTTGATAGGCTTATGTAGTACTTTTGCAGTGGCTTTTTTTGTTTCTTAGTATTTTGTTATCGTCATTTCCTACTTTTCCTCAAAGACTGGAACTTCTGTGAAAGCATGGTAGCTTTATTTGTGGTATAGTGCCTTTTTGAAATTTTATTGCATCGCACCTCCTTTTTGTTTTTGTTGTTGTTGCTGTTCCCGTTGTTGCTGTGCCTGTTGTGATGCTTCTGTATCTTTAATATGTTTTTCAACCTATGAGAATAATAAAATATATATACATTACATATACATTGTCATTTTCTTAATCTTTTCTAAAATACTTACTACTTTCTTCACATGCTTATATGCTCCAGACTCTGTATTTCCATGAACATTATCAACTTTATATGGTGGTCTAATCGTGACATTGTCAAATACAACAATATTTGCTCCATTCCACGTAATTTCTGGGATAGTCTTTGATATAGTACTGAAGAGTTTTTGTCCTTCTGGAGATACTCCGGCCTGCAGAGCCATTACCAGTTTTTTTTTCTCTTCAATTTGATTACGTACTCTTTTATTCAATTTTTGCAAATTAAGGCTTTGTGGTGGTTCACTAGTGGTAGGGCTAACTTCTCGTTTTACTTGGACCTCTGATACCAAGGATAAATTTACTATGTGTACATCGTTTAATGCTGGAGCTCCGCTGGATGACGGACATTCTGATCAACATCAGTTAAGGAATTGTTGTTATCATAAAACATGAAAGTTAAATACAATTTTATTCAAAATATTTCTGTTTCAGAGGATATTTAGCTATAAAATAAATTCTCAGGTTATAAGGAAGAATTTCTAATTTTTCTGTTAGATTGAAAATATTTCTGCTTATGATTCTTGAGAGAAATGAAAGTGAAAGTTTTTATGTGAAGCGTGAAAATACGTTTAAGAACGGATAAGCAGAGTAATAAAAAGGAACGGAAAATCCAGCATGGTTGATTGAATGACGAAACTAACCTGACTTCGTGTAGCTGGTTAGATGATGATCAAATAATTGACAAGCGGTATTGCACGTTTCCCGTGTGAAATCGCGAAACATAGCTTAGCGATCATTTGCTAAAATTCATGAAACCTATCATAGATAGCTCTAAAGTTATTTACACTGCAGCAATGTTAAACGAACGTCGTATGAGCGCTACATACATGTAGTTTTCAAGAAGAACGTTGCTTTCAGGGAATTTACAAGAAAAGGATACTTAGGATTAACATTTTAGTTTGTGGATCGAATGCTAGCACCTCGCCTTCGATCTCCTCCTTGTAACAGGTTTTACAGGCCACGGTACTCCCGATGCTGAAACAATCGTTGGCGCCGGCCATTTTTCACTACGAACTTGGAACCGCGGACTCCCTATCGCCATCTGTTCTGATTTCAAATGTCCCTCGAAATTTGTATTATTTGCGCCATTTCTACTATGGCCAGTAAGACAAATCGTTCCAGAGAAAAATTAATATTATTTGAAAACAAAAGAGACATGCTATTGGAATGACATGAAAGTACAAGTTCATCTTATTGTTAGTGGTCAGAAATAAGGTAAGGAGTTTTAAAACAATAATTTTCTTTTTTAAGAACATATAGTTAAAATTAGATTCATGTTATTACATTATAAACGTTAAATATTGTTAAATTTAACGTTAAATTCTTTTCTTTATGTTAAGAATATTTTGAAACAAAAAAAAAAAAAAAAAAAAGAATGAATAAAATAGAAAAATTATATTATATTTTTTAAAATTATTTGGTAGATAATTTGATGTAATGATGTGTATATTTTTAATTAAATATATGATATTATTAAAATTTTAAAATTAATTTATAAAGAAGTAGAATTTATAATTTAAATAAATTTAATTTATAAAATTTTATATTATGTTTTAATATTTGATAAAATTATCAATATAAAAATAAATATAATTTTGTCATCATAATGACATTTTGAGTTAAGATAACTGATTCTTAATAATGAAAAATATATATAACAAAGATAATTATTATTCTGAAATAATAATATTCTTTATTTATTCTTTTTTTTTCTTTTTTTGTTAATTTCAGATCATATGAGAATTACGAAAAGCATCGGTTACGTTCGTTCGACATTCGTAAACTTTCGTTTTCATTCGGGGTAAATCGGGGACAATCGGCTTGGCGGGTAGTTTTGCGGTCGCGTGGCTTCGTCCGGCTTTCAGTTTATAGATACCGTTCTGTGAAGTAACATCGTGACGTGTGAATTGAATTTTAAACTTTTTTTTTTTGTGCTTTTTGAACAATAAGTGATACAATCAGTGAATAATTTTAAACTATGACAACCGTACGACATCATAGAACATGGTTTAACTACGTTTTTCGCAGTATTTTTTAAGGTAAGCGAAAAATGTTTTTGATTACATTAAATTAATTATCAACGTATCGTGAATAACAACGAATTAAATATAATTATAATATTAAAGCATTTACTTTTGTATTAAAAGTATTTTTAAATACTTATTCGTAAATACATATCTTAATATATTACCAGTGTTTTTTGATAATTATTATCGATTGTTCATTAAAATCGATCGATATAATTTCGTAATTTTTTCTTCGTAGTTTTTTCGATCTTGTAAATCGAGAAATTGAAAATATGGTTCTTCTTTATTGTAAAGAGTGATGATCTTTTGCGCATTTTATTTGCTCTTTTGTCAATAGAATATTAGTCGGTTGATATTTATCAACAGAAAATTTTTCATCAAATCTAACAATATGTTAACGATATATACGATATGTGGTTAATAGCTACAGAAAATATCGAAATATATGAAACTCGATATATTGGATAATATTATTTGTAGTTTCTAAAAAAATTTCGTGATATGTTTCGTGATTATTGTTATATGAAATATTATTTATTATTTATGTAATTGTATTTATGTAATAATTGTTTTAATTAATTAGTGGTTCTTATTTTGATAACTCAAAATACTTATTTTAAAAATAATTATTTTTAAATAAAAATATCTTGCTATTGAATTATCATTAATTAGAAGATCATGTTAATTTAATCAAATATTCGAATCGCATATATTATAATTTGTATTTCTATATATATATGAGAATATATATATGGATCTCATTTTATTTTTACATCGCAATACTAAAAATATAATAAAAATTATATGAAACCGTTTTAGACCAGCTGTCGTTCTTAGAAACTCGAGGTCATCGTAAACAGATTTTTTTCTTTTCAAGGATCTAATAATGCTCGAAACGTAAATACGAACTTTACAAAAACGTATGCCAAATACATACATATCGTATATATGAATGTAAATAGAATAATGCCTCATAGTAACAGACGAAAAAGGAAAACAGACGATTGGCATGAAAATTTTTAAATTTTATATTTAAATAGTTCTTTTTTATAATAGTTCTCTTAAATAATCATTATAAGATACAATCAAAATTTTCGTTCTAAATCTAATTGAAAATTTTTTTCAATAAATTAAATAAAAGAGAAGCGATCAGAGAAGTTTAATCAATCTTTGAATTTGATTCGTAGAAACATACTTTAAATTAATTAAAAATAAATGTGCAAAACGATAATATAAATGTTCAAAATTGTTTATAATTATAATTAATATGAAGCTTGACGAGAGAAATATTTTATTTTATCACACATAATTGATGAAATGTTTATAACATATGACGTTGAATATATGAATTTCTTATAATCTGATGTTTCAACATAATAATTCTCAAGATTTTAATAATTTTCTAATTCTTCACATTCGTTTCACTTTTAAGTGTCTTGAAAAAAATTGAAACCGCGTGTATCTTCTTTTCGATAAAAATTTTAAATTATTCATGATTTAACAAATCAATTATCAATTATCAATTGATCCTCGATCGATGAAACACACGATTTACGTGTTTTCGATAACATCTGATGCCCGCATCTCATTTTTCGATCGATTGAATTCCTAATACTTGAAAATTTATCTATTCCCCCATAACACATAGAGAAGCGTAAACGTGGACAAAGAATATCCAGGAACGGTCGTATGGAATAGTTGATAAATGGGAAAATAATGCATATCGCACCGAGCTGCTTCTCTGCAGGAATGTAAATCATTCGCGACTGTTTTCCTCTCTCAGGAACGAAGTTCTGTTCGTCGAACGGCAAATAAATTCAACGTTTGCTATCCTCGTTTTTCATGAACTGTCTCGACCGTCATTTCGAAATCGATCTTTTATTATACGCCTGGTGCTCTTCATCAAATCGTGTTCTTCTAATCCATGTAAATAATCGCTCGAGCGCATTGTTTTACACATTGGTTAAGAATTCATATTTTTGCGAAATTTATATACTCAATCTTCTCTTCTTCCTCTTGTTAATTAAAACTATCGTTATTTTAAAAACGAAATTTTATTCAACGAAATAAATTAATCAGGATTAAAATTATTGCGATCTTGAAACTTCGAAGAAATACATCAAATCATCGAGAACGATGATAAAATGGAATTTATATTTATTAACTTCATTTCGTCTGGAGGTAATTTTTATCATATTAGAACGTTAGACAGAAAAACAAGAAAAAAGAAATATTTTAATTATCGTAAAAAAAGAAACTCTCATGGAAAATGCATGAATGTTTTTGCGAATTATTTAATTCTCTCGAATATCGTTTTTTTCCGATGTTTATATTGGCAAACGCAGTAGATGTAAGAATGATTGCACATGTCAGAAACTCGTAAATAAAATCAGACATGCAATGGACATGTGTGGTACCTGGCCCGGAGAGCATAAATCAGCGCGACACGTGTTTTGCACCATTGTGCGACCGTCTTTCGGTTATACTATATCAGAACTAGGCCAAATTAGAAATTCTCTCGTCTCTCTACGTGTAATCCAAAATTTCATTCGAAACATATTCCTTCCTTAGATCATCATATTTCGAAATTTTGGAAATACAATCGCACATTAATTTTTTAATTCCATTGTTCGAGAATGGAACAATTTTTTTTTTCTTTTAATAATAAAAATGACAAATAAATAATTAGAGATGTCAAGATTTTCGAGATCGTATATTTTCGAGAAGGATATAAAGCACTTCGTCACACTCGAGCAAACTTGATCGAGCAAACTGAAATAACATGGATTTTTTCACAGGAAGAATTATGATTGACTTATAACGATCGTTTCGCAAAGCACCAGTCGCGAAATTTACACGCGTTCAGAATAGAGCAAGACTCTGCCGGGCTATATCCTATAAATACTGGTTTATTGCTAACACGTGGTACTAGAGTAAATGCACAAATTGTGTTTCGTTATGGAAATTTCAATTGATGGCGGAACAGTGAAACGGGCAAATTAAGTTTCATCGACAATCACTCTTCTATTTCGGTTTTGTACTTGCTTTGAACAACTTATATCACTTTACATTCTCGTTTTCATTAATCATTTTCATTATTTGATTACCTTTTCATTATATCATGGTAACATTGGTTCGAAATCGAACGATTTTCTCATTTTGTCATTTTTATCGCGTGATGTACTGGAATACTAGAAAAATGGGAAACAAATTGCGTTATGATATATTCGCGCGATATTTAATTTTCTTATCAGTAACGAGAATAAATTGTTGCTTAGAAATTTGTTACACAGTTGCGCAACTGTCGATAAACTCGAAAACTTTTTCATTTTTATGCATTCGTATCGTCGAATGTCATTAGATTCCACGATGTTTACCAATCGATTCTCGATTTCCGATCCGTTCTCGATTTCCGATCCGTTCAATCCCGAGATATCACTGACCGAAAAACCTAACGTAACTACGTCTAGCGACTTTTGTCATAGGAAATTTTGATTGTCAGCCAGAAATTCGAATTCGTTTGGCAACGAGCCCGTTCTACTATCGACATTGATGTGTATTTTTTTTGGGGCGAGAGGGAGGGGGAAAGAAACTAATCGATTTTCTGTTTTGACTTGTTGTTCTTCTCGTAAAAAATAATCTCCATTTGTATGGAGTTTCGAGCGTATTTTAAACACGATGATTTCACGCGAAAAAACGTGATTTGTAAGCTTTTAGCAAAGTTTGGTTTTCGTGAGGCGAGAGATTTGAGAAAAAAGTTTATTCTGATTGAACGAATCGAGTTATTCGATACGTAGCGAGATACGTGGAAATTAGATTAGAAAGTTGCGAAATCAATTTAATTTTTTCTTCGAAATGAATAATTAGCAGGCATGATGATACTCGTCGAATATGATATTTTTATCGAGATTTATCCTCGGTGTTTGGTTTTATTACATTCGAAATTTACGTCAAATACTGTTACTTGTCAAGCAGTAGTGGGACAGGATAATGGAAAACCAATTAGGCTAAGTACATCGAAAGTTTTTACGTGGAAAAAGTTGCAGGATTAAATCGATCGTTATCAACGTTGAGAAAATTCATGTTCCGATGAGGCGGTGCGATTTGACGTGGAAAAGGAACAAGATCGTATAAAAAGATTCTCTCCAAATTTTTCCTGTATAAATTTGTCCTCTTAATTGCACTTCGATTTTCAATTAACGGAATTATCATTCTTAATTTAAGTTTGATATTCTGGAATTATCGTGATCGTATCGTCTTGCATTCTATTCTCTTTGCGATGCACGAGTTTCTATGTTGCATAATAATACAATTATCTTTAACTATCCGTCACACGTATAAACGTTTTTTTTACAATGACAATTCTTGTACGTCTCATCTCGAATTGCAGTATTTTTGTCTTGGATATCATTAATGCAGACATCAGTCTTGGCATAAATAAAATATTTACTTTAAGAAAAATTGTACGTTGTGTTATTACAGGATCGGTTGTCGTTTAACGCGATAACATCGAAGAAATTAAAATGATTGCTCGATGATGGATAAGATAAGATAAATTATGAAAATTGGCAAAACATTTTTTTCCTGTTAAATTCCATTTATCCATTTGCCATTTCCAAGTATCGAGATCTTTACGATCACTTGAGATATAAATCTTCCGAAGAGACGTCGCGTCGATGCTCCTTTTTCGCAAGATCTTATCACAAATCTAAAATTAGCGGGGCTAACGAGCTTTGACGAACAATTTATACGCGAACGAAACGGAAGTTTGGCGTAAACTTCTTTCGTCGCGTGTCATTTTCGTAATTATACGTGACAGAATATGCACGACACCGTGTTGACTTATTTCTCTTCTTCAAACTCATCATTCGTCTCCGCGTAATTTATGATCCGTGATCGTGAAAATTATGAGCCGAGGTTGCATTCAACTTGCATTCAAAATTCTCAAACTCGCGCAATCGAGAAAACAGAATGGAGATGCCAGGTTAAATGCATTTTCGTTTCAACGAGAATTAAAATTATGGACTATTAACGAAATGAATTATAAAATACACACACAAAAAAAAAAATATGACTAAACGTAAAATATCCGTAATTATTATCCTTTTGAATTTACTCTCCTTTGAATTTCGAATCCTTTTTTTTTTCGAAATTGTGTTTTTCAATTTTCCAAAGAGGTTCGATCATTTAAATTATATTGTTAATTAAATTCATTCGTCGCATAATAAAATTCTGAAATCTTGTGTAGGGCAATAGGTCGCGGAAGTGCAGGTGCATTTTGCAGAAGAATCGATGAGAATTCGATTAAGAAGCTCATCGTTGGAACGATTAAGAAAATCGGTTTCGCGAAAATTGGTTGGATCGCGTGTGCGCAATTCCACGGAATACAATTCGAATTTGCCCGGTCGGATTCATTTCGTTTAATTGAATGCAAAATCGATAGGCCGAATTTTGATGAAATTTAAATAAGGATTATTTAAAGTTGGCCGCGAGGAAGCTATCGGTGGGCGGAAAAATTTTTAGTCGATTTCGAGTAATTGCTCGAACAGCCGATGGAAAGTCGAGTTCTACGAGTTCGTTATATACGTTCCACTTAACGAGGGATGAATTTACGTACATATCCCCCTTTTGTTTTCCTCCATGTTTTTGATCCACGATTTGCCGCGTCGCTTATCTAATGCAGCGATAATTACACGGCAGATTGTTGAAGCGAACAGCGAGAATCGTGTACTCGAAACTTTCTAAACTGCTCGTTAACGAGGGGAATACGGAATGTCCGTAGAAATGCATTATTCATGTGATCTTTCGTGGGACGAAAAAGAAGGCAAATGACGTCCAGTTTCTTCGTTGATCTCGAGATCATAAGTCGTGGACGAGAGCAAGCTAATTTCGTGTAATTTCGGAGATTGTAATTTTCTCAATCTTCCCTTTTTCTTAATTGAAATTGTTCCAAAGGTTCTCTGTAATTTGAAACTCGACCGATCGTCTTCCACGATTTTCACGGTGCATGATGAAAAATGATCGAACGAGAGTCGAAACAAATCGTACTGGATCGAGATCGAAAAAATCGATAGCTAGACGATTTGAAATTAGAAATTAGAATATGGGATGTGTATATATATATATTACGTATTCTTTATTCGTTTCAATTATTTGTTAGATTCATTTTTTGAAATATGGACGCGTATCTACGATTCATCTTCTTCTCTCGTGAAATCAGTTGGATAATCAATTTCCTCTTAAAACGAAAATCTGATAATACACGTTAGATTTTAAAGCGCGTCAGGAGATATCGAGTCATGAGAAAAAAAAAAAAAAAACACGTGAGAGTTCTCGCACCGTTACTCGTGAAACGTTTTCCCCCTCTTTTCTATTTTTCATTTTTACACCCATTAAAAATAATATCTCGAAAAAATCCATTTTATCCCAGATCTTCTTCCGTGCGATTAATCTCGATCTTGGTATATTCACGAACGTGTTCTTACTTTTCGAAGACTATAAAGTATATCTCCTCCATAAAATATATGCAATATCGTTTCGAGGCTAATTCAACACTCGAGACAGGAAAAATACATTAGGTTAAAACTGATTCTCAATGATCTTGGTGTAGCAAGATCTAGTGTCGTGGACTGTACAGCGATTATCGATTTTGTAAGTGAACACCTGGACGAGTACTTATACGGGATTTACGCGAGGCAATTACGTTAGATTTAGTACGCCGTGAGCAAAGAATCATGGAATCCACCGGTTTGAACCAGTTCGCTTGTTTAATTATTTAAAAAAAAAAAAAAAAAAAAAATTTGCCGAAGTTAAAGTCGAGAGAAAATTAATAATTTTAGTTTCGTAAAATTTGGTATTTGATCACCACTGATGCACGGATGAGTTTCGTCCAAGTCGCCACTCGAATTGATATAATCTCTCTTCCCCATTGCACGAGTGTTCGCTTCCAATCATGAAGGGTCAATCGAGCTTCATTTGCGGGATACGGAATTTTTTTCGAGTTGCATCAAAAAATAACAGAGTACGATTTAAATAAAATTTATTCTTTTCAATTTGAAATAACAATCGAAATAAATGAAAGAGCTTTTGGAGGAATTTTAGCGTTATATTTCAATTCCTTTATTTATTTAATTAAAGGATTTAGAGAATGCTTCGTTAATTGATCCTCGATTTTCCATTCGTCGAGTCATCCATTGTCCCAACGAGCAATCTACCAAAATCATCTTAACCATTTTCCCTTGATAACCCTTCGTCACGTTGTCAATCCTCGACGGATGTATCGACAATCAATAAAGGGAATCTCTCTTCGATTGCATATTAACCATGAGTTTACTGCGGTTACGTGGAACATGCTGGCATCCGCACAAATCGTTAAGTCTAATGTGTCGTTGAGTCGAATCGCGAACGAATTGAAACCGCAATCAGGAATTACGGTATAAATTAATCGTTTTGACAAGATGGGTCGTATTTCTCTTTACATTCTCTCCGCATTCTCTCCGCAGTTTTCCATCAAGAAAGAAAACGAAATTAGCCTCGACGAATTTTGTCGCGTTTTGTTTAACGTTTGATTTTTCGAAAAAGGAAAAAAAAAGGAGCTACGAGGATAAAGATGAAACATCGCTTATACTTGACTTCAAAAGTGAATTTAAAATTGTCCCCGGCTTTGATCTTTCGTAATGGAAATTAAATCTCATCCATCCGCGTGAAATTAAATCTCGCCGTGAATAATTAGAAAAATCAAAGGATTTTTCCAACAATTTTTCATTTTAGGATTTCCTATTATTTTTTCATCATTTTCTTTCCCCTATGTAAACAGGATGAAAGAAACATTTTCTTTCTTTCCTTAAAAATATCGATAATTTATTTCGACCTCTTTTTCGAGAAATCGATGTCTCTCTTCCCTCTTTCTTTATAGCAAAACGAATACAATAAAGAAGTTTGGCAGTTTATCGAAATTTCCGCGACGAAGATGAAACGAATCTCGATTGGCAATCAGATTTTAACGAAGAAGCTCGAGAAGAGAGAACGAGGTCACGGTTGTGTAACGCGCGATGCATTTCCCACGTTTTCATGATTTTAGCGTGGCGCTTCAATACGTCGTGGAAAGAATCTTGAAAGCGCGAACATCGTTTCGCCCGGCTTTTCTTTTTTTCTTTTTTTCAAACGGGGCGGATAAGAGAACAGAGAACGCTCAGCTCTGTGTTCTCAATGCCCTCCTCTCCCCCCTGTCCTGCGACACGGAGGATTATACAGGAATTGAAAATTCGCGAAAGTTGGAGGATCGAAGTTGTTCGACGCGAGAATTCGAATAATTAAATTACGCGTAATTTTTGACGAGGCATTTTTCCAATACTTTCCCCCCCCCCTTCTCTTCGAAATTCGTCGAGAAAAAAAGAGGAAAAAATGTCGAGGGTATTATTTTTGTATTTGTAGCGCGGTAATAAAGGTATAAAGGTACATTTGGAGATTACTTGCTATGTGGAATTTCAAGGCGAGAGTATAATATAGGAGGTAATTTTCGTTCTCTGCACCGGTTGGCCGGCGCGTTACACGCTGAAATTACAGCAAAGCTTGTGTGTTTAAGAGACTGCTGATTGTGGCATTCGTGGCTTTTAAACCGAAGCCAGGCCTTCCTGTGTTCAACCAGTTAAACGCCCTTTTAGCGATCGAATCGCTTGTTTGTCCACGTTCCTCGCATCGCTGATTCTCAATCTAACGATTTCCTATTCCGTTCCCTTGCGTTTTTTTAATTCTCTTGCTTCTCCTCCCAATGAATCCTATATATATATATATATCAGCACTTTCTTCGTAAGGAAGTGGCCGATGAACAATCGTATCACGGTATTCCATTCGCATTTTCGCTTTTAAAAAACATTCATTGTTATGAAAAGTTTTTTTCTTTTTACTTGCTTCGATCTATGAAAATCATCACGATTTTATATCATAGACACGATCGTAACCTTTCTCCGCGAAAATTAATTCTCAATTCACGAGATTTAATCTTTTTCTCCCCTCATCCGAGTTACCTTTATTAATTACGATTCGAAATTATACGATTTATCGTGGATAAAAAACGAAAAAAGCAAGATTCAATAATCTAAATCTTAATATCTTTCTCTAGATGAAAACACACTGAAACATTGAATTGACGATCTCTTTTATATTGCAGGGGCGAGAGTGTGGCAACGCAACGACGTGGTAGCAAGGGAAGCATGCGAAGAAAAGAGGGCGGAGGAAGATTTGTGGTCGCGGGGGAAAGGAAGGGTTCCCAAGGAATCGCGTTAGAGGAAGGGAGATCGTCGAAAATTGTCGATGCAGTTGGTCGAAGCGTGTGAGAGGCGGCCAGGATGGAAAACGGGGTGGTGAACGGTGGACAAGTTGGTTCTCAAGTGTCGTTAAGAAGTTAATCGCAGCCATGCCGAACGAGACAAATGCCACGGACGATTTTCTCGATTACGATATCAACGACTCGTTGAGCCACTTCGATTGGGCGGAACTGGGGCCTGTCCTCGTCGTATACTCCCTCACGTTTTTCCTCGGATTAATCGGTGAGCGAAAATACACTTTATACTTTGCCACGTTTCCTCGTGTTTCTTCCTCTTCCTCTTTCTCTTCCTCTTCTTCTTCTTAATTTTCGCTCGGTCACTTTTGCCCTCTGTAAATAATGGCCGACTAAAAGTGAGACCTCAAAAGTGACCTGGATCGGATAGTTTTTGATCCAGCGAGTTAAGTTGGGTGAAAATCGATATTTTTGGAGAGGAGAATTTAAAAATTTTATCGAGGAGAAAAATGGTTAGGAGAGTTTTGTAAAATATATTAGAGAGAAAAGAATCGCGATATTTTTATTATCCATTTTTATTATAATTTTCTTGTTTGTTTTCGTGTATATAACGGGAGAAGAAAACGCTGATACGAAATTGAATTTGAAAATCTGTTTTCATTACATAAGTTTCTTTTGTTTGGTGATCATTTGAAAAAGTTTTCGTGTAACGTTGAATGGAAAAAAACAGAAATTGGAGAGAAGCGATTGAGGGGAGAATATAATCAAGGATTGATGAAAAACGGTACACCATCGGCGAATCGACGATCAATTGATTAAACTCCAATTCCAATTTTCATTTCAACGTTACGAATAAAATGTATTTTGAATTTATTGAATTGAATGGTTTAGAACCACGAACAAACGTTATTTCGGTCTAAAGAGTTGTTCAAACACTTGCAACTTAGTTGTAGTTTTTCCTTATTATCGGATGAGCCAGTGAACAATTGGAAAAAAATTTCCTTTTTATTTTTCAACGCATTTTTGATTTAATTTTATCGTACATTTTTCTATATTATAACATTTGTTCATATGATAATTACAATGGACGAATATTTTTATTATTCCACCTGCTCATCAATTGGATTAATTAAAAGTTTTTAGATATCTCATTTGCATATTTATCATCTATTGGAAATTTCCTGGAAAAGTGGAGATAAAGATGAAACATAGGTTAGAAAAAGATTAATTATTGCTCATAATTGAATAAAAATTTATCTTTCAGAGAATTATTTTTTTCTAGATTCGTGATTTTTGTATAAAATTGTTCATAAAAAAGACATATTTGATATTATAAAAATTCAACAACGATGAAATAAATAAATCGTCACACACGGTTGAATTATTCGTGTATAATTAAAAGAAATTTCCATTACAAATAATTATTTCTGAGCGAACAATGAATCACTTTGATTCGACTAAAATATCTTTCGATACGTAACATCTCGACATTTTATCGACCCATTCTCTCATCTCTAATATAAATTACATTAACTGGAAATTTTCTGAAAATTGATTCGTCATATAAACTTTGAGTAACACGTGTTTTTAAGTTGGATGATGATCCCACTCGACATGACGTTTCGATCGTTTCGCGATTGTATTCCCTCGAAAGTTGCTCGACCTTAATTAGAAGGGGGGCGTGGTAATTATCAAGTTTTGATGAGAAACGAATGTGCAGAAACAGTGCAGTAACAGTTTTATTTCAGGAAACGTCGTCATCATTGGTTCGACACTGTGCCCCAGACTGAGACCTTTACCAGCGACACCGACCAACGTCTTTCTAGGTGGTTTGGCAACTGCCGATCTTTTGCTTATACTCTTTTGCATTCCCGTGAAGGTGAGTCCTCTATAAAATATAATACTTACTGCTAACAATTTTTACGACCAACCCATTTTATGAACGATTAATTTTGTTATTCGTTACGAAAATTTTACAATCGAGCAAGAAAATATTGGAAAATTTTACAAATGGAAAACAATTTATTTAATATTATTAGCAATTATTAGCAATTATTCGAAGAAAGTAAATGATAAATATAGAAATATAGAAATGAGTATCGTTCGTAATTTAAATTAATAATAATTTTATTATTTAATAAATATGTTTGTTCTCACAAACGTATATTTACAAAGATTCATCTATTTAATTAATATAATTATTTAATTAATATTCTCAGCGCGATGATTTTTCGTCGAATATCATATTTAATTTATCCTTCGATATTCGTTTCATCGAAATTATATTTGCAATTCCTTTTATTAATTTATTATAATTAATCATATTTATATAGATTAATTTATCGAATATTATTCTATCATTATCGACTACTTGTCACGCGAAACATATTTTATCTCCGAAACATTCATCTTATTCCAACGCTGTCAATTATGTTCATGAATTATTCTCGATCGATTGTTTCGATCATGTTCATCTGAAGCGTGGAAAATTTATTTATTTATTTTTCAATCATTCAACCCTTTTAGTTTTTTCATTTTGCACGAACTCCCCTCTCGAATTCGACTCAACTCGTTTACAAATATTATTTTCCACGTTACGGTTGATTGGGGAAAGAGAATTATTGGTTATTCCTTTATTCAAATCCCCGACATTATTTGCCAATCGTTGCATTTATAAACGTTGATAACGTTGAAACGTTGATCTTTTTTAGAAGTTGGAAGGTACAAGCAACAGATGGTAAAATTTTTGTGTTAAAATGCAAATCGAGACACGTTGTCTGGTGGAGATAGAGCGCGAAGTCAGTGTCAGGAAGGCGCCGCGATCTTCTGACCGGAATCAAAATAAAATCGGATTGTGCCAAGTTCTAAAATTACGTATCCGAGAAACGGGGCGAGAGTACACGTACGAAAAGTGATTCAGCTCTTCTTTTATATCTCGGCACAATTGCATTTCGTTTTATGCGATTTTTCTTTTTTCTTTTTTTTTTTATTTATTTTACGACGGGTCCAATCGAGCTTGACCAGCTTACCTTTAGGATTTAACGGGCTTTATCTTGACCAGCTATGACACATGGAAGCTTTTCCCTTCGTGTTTTCCTTCTTTTTCTAAAGAAACAAACGGAATCGTAATTCGCTAAGAACACGGTGTGCATTAACGTTGGCAATCTCTTTTTAAAAATATTACTTTTTCTAGAGGAAGTATGTTATATTAAAAAAAAAAAAAAAGAAAATACCGCGTAGTATAATTATAATTATGATATTCTAAAGATGTTAAAAAGTTGTACGAAATTTTTCTTAGATTTTTTTTATAAACCTAGAACGCGAATTGTTGAATGATAAAACGATTGCAATTCTCTCGTCCATTTGCAAAGAGACAAAGTTCTATTAACTCCTCTGATTCGTAGCTTCAAGTTTTTCGATGTTTTTGATCGAGCAGATCTTCAATCAATAAAATCCAGGAATGTCAAGATAAATTTAATTGGAATGATCGTTCGAGGAACTTTCCTTTTTTATCAGCGTTAAAAGACAAGACTCGCGCTATTTTATCTTGAAAGTAATTTTCCAAAGAAACATTTTTTCCAAGATTTAAATCCCCATTTTCGGCTCTCGCCCCATTTTCTCACGCAGTTAATAATTTTCATTCCCGAGATAAAAAAGATCCCTTTATATAATACAATCGACTCGATTTACTCGAGGAGAGAGAAGGATTGCCATGAAGGGGGACGACTAAGAAAGAAAAATAGCCGTTTGAAGATCTTATTGGTTTATACGTGGCGATGGTGGGGTTAATCAGGGTTATTAATGTTTCGCTATTATTTTAATTTTTTCGATGATTTCTCTTTGTCGTTCGTTTTTAAGAAACGTCATTCGAAACGTGATTTACTCTATTGTCGGGTCAATTCGAGCCTTTTAGCGTCAATGATATCATGTCAGATGCTTTTCTTTTCGTCTTCTTCTTTTATTTTCCGCGAGGTAATGAAAATTTTTGTTTTTCTTCGTCGAAAGTGAACTATAGATATTTAGATAATTAATTTTGGAAACAAATGGGATATAAATTTTATTTTTTTTTTTTATGAAATTTTTGAAATAAAGAAAATATACATAAATTTTAATGGATAATTTAGTTGAGGGTAATTGGAAATGTTGAGTAAAAAATATCTTCGATGATAAATTTTCCGAATAATTGGAAAAGTCTGCTTCCTGCGATATCATTTTATTTCAACGTATTAAAACTGTACATCGAATTGGAAATATTTTCAGTTACTCGTATATATTTCCATAAAATAGGAACGTTAATAGTGTATCGAGATTGCTTGTAAATAACATCGATGCTTTTCTCGACAGTCATTATTTCTAATTGGGTTTCATATCAATTTATCGAATTTACCGATTAAAATTGAAATTTGACAAAGTTAAAAATATTTGATTTATTTTCAATTGGTTATTTCTTTATTATCTACGTGTAACGTTTGAATGTACAAGTGTAAGAGAGTGTAAGAGATTCTATTTGTTTAGAAACTTTCTGTTTATTGTAACCTTTTTATTTGTAACGTTTGAAACGAAAGAAATGTTCATTCATTTATATAAGTATTCCTGGTTCCTTTAAAATATTTATAGAGGAATCCTTTGCGAGCTCTTTTGATTCCTTTAATCGTTGTTTATCGTTTGAAGTGGAGTGTGATACTACTTGGAGAACCTCGTTCAGAAAATACATACGTTAGAAAATGTAAAGTAAACTTTCTTAAAGAAGATTTTTCGGATTTTCTTTAAAACGCAATTTATTCCACATTTATTCTGTTAACAAGATTTTTAGAGTTATTTTTTTCAACATACGTGGCAACACGCGCGCGTGTCTCGTTACATTAAATATTCATTAAATATTCATATCATCGCGACATAAATACTCGCATATTTTGATTCACAGCAATTCTTCTCTTCTTTATCATATTTAATTTTATGATCGAAGAATCTGTTATTTCCTCAAATATATTTAATTCCACGATCAAACTTTCGTTTCTTTCGCGAAATTACCATATCCTCGTTAAAATTCTTTTTCAGTTGTCCAAATTTCCACCTTAATAAACTTAATCATCGTACTAAAAAAAAAAAAAAGAAAAAGGGCCAACATAAAATGGTACTTAACCAAGAGACCTTTTTCGTCCGAATGAAGATTTTGCGGAGATAATTAACGACTAGGAGGAGGAGAAAAACTCGATAAGTCGACAAAAAAATTTTTCTGAACAACGATTATAAAGTTAAATTTGATTGCATCACGAGATCTGTCGAGTTTTTCACTTTTTTAACTTTGAAATAATAAACTATCCTCCTTTACTAGATGACATAAAAAAAAAAAAAAAAAAAAAAAAGAAANGTAGACTAATAAAATTTTCCTCTCATAAAATTTTCATTTTGATGAACTCTTCGCAAATGAGATTTTTTCCACAAGCAAATTAAGAGAAAAAAAAAAAAAAAAAAAGAGAGAAAGAAAAAAAAAGTCGCCTTGTGTTCCTCATTAATTCACCCTTCGATGATGAGTCGCTTGGTTACTCGGCTACTGGATTCGTTCGATCATTATTATTCTATCTTGGGCCGAGTAGCTCGACTTGATATTTTATATTAATCTCGTGTTACCCGGTGGTAGAAAGAAAAAAAGGAGGTTACGAAGTGAAAGCAACGACCCGTTATCCGACAGATTTATTCGTTCTTCGCGGGAAAGGGCTTTTCTTTCTTCTGCCTGGATCCCGTTTCCCTCGCGGAAAAGTCTTAATATCTTGGATGTTGCCCGAGCGAAGCTAAGAAATTCGAAAGATAAAAAGGCAATGTTCGCAGAGAAGGTGGAGAAAAATGGCGATCTCAAAAGATTTCTTTCCAAGGATTTTCCCTCCGAAAGGGTTCCAAGAGTTTCAATGCGAATCGATATACATATCTATCATTGAAAATATTTCGCGTATTTCATTTCGCTATTCAGAATTTCGGTTGAAATATTCAGATTTATAATCGTGCTTGGAGTTCGTCCAATAAAAATTTATATTTTTACCATTCTGATATTCTTCTTTCTTCGGTTGCAAGTTGAAATTTCATCTTTCTTGATAAATTCATCAATTCATAAAGTTTATTGCTAATGTTTTAGATTAAATTATGATTGAATTATGGCGAGATTCAAAGCCATAAGAAGATTTATTTCCAATCGATTTTCCTGTCAAAAGTTTTGATCCGAATCCACGTATATTTAATACTGAAAATATCGTAATAATAGAAGAAATATCCAGATTTATTATTTGAAATTATTGAATTCACTTATAGAAATATTTTATCATTCTTATTTTTCTTTAACTTCGAGTTAGAACAAGTTAGAATACAAACTTCATCTTTCCAGGAAATCTCTCGACTATGAAATTAACAAGTGTTTTAAGTTAAATTAGGTCGAGATTCGAAACCGAGGATTCATTTCCAATCGATTTATTTCCACGCTGTCGAGAGTTTCGATACGAATCGACGTATATATATTTATCACTGTAAACTGTTTCATAATGGAAGAAATATGGAAATTTATAGCCACCATTTATGAGACTATCGAATTTCACTTCTCCAGAATAGAAATATTTTCACCATTCTCATCTTCTTCGATTTCGAATGCCAAGTTGAAACTTCATCTCTGCGGAAGTCCCTCGAAGCTTGTTACGAGAGCAGTGTTAGGCGCGAGTCACATCCGGCTGGGTTCATTTGAAACGTAAATTTAGTCTATCCATGGAACTGGCTGTAACCCCGTTTCGAGCACACCACGCCAGTTTTCAGTGGATATTATTACGCATCCAGAGCGGTGGTTTCTGCTCGGTCGTAGAAAATTGGCTGCAATCTTTCTCAATAGAATCGGATTGC